ATAAATCAGTCACCCATACCTGAGCTGCCAGCAGGGAGGACAGGAAGCTGTCATCAGGGGTGAGCAGGGAGCTACCAGCAGGGGTGAATAGGAAGCTGTCATCAGGGGTGAGCAGGGAGCTACCAGCAGGGGTGAATAGGAAGTTACACAGGACGGCTACAACTCCAAATGGGCTCAACACCTTGTGCGCCTATGGAAAACTCCAGAAACCTTTCATTTCTTAGAGCAACTAGACACCTAAGGTGTTGGAGGGGTGTAAAATTTAGGGGACCTATGATCTGGGAGTCAGGACACCCATGACTCAGTTTCCGCTCTGCCATTGACTCGTTTAGGATCAGGAGACATGTTTTCTTGGACCTCAGTGTCCTCGTCCAGCCCACAGGCCAAATGATCTGATCCAGAACTGAACAGTTTGGCAAGTGCAGAATGAGGTGGTCTCACTGCAGCAGCAGTAGCCTGAACCACCATCACTTTTGACAAGTGTTTGTGTCCCCCCATCCCTAAGTGACCTAAATGATGAATGTCCATGTTGGCATGCTAACAGAAGCACTTCCAGAAGATCCATCACCGCATAGCTGGAGAAATCCTTCACTCTGTCCCATTGCCTGTCTCCTTATCTTCCGGCTCTAGTCTCCTAAGTGATGCTTGTCAGCGCTCTTGCCTTTTAAACATGTTTCTTTTTAAATTGTAAATGTTAAAACAGGGCTGGGGAGGGCTCAGGCAAGCAGGCAGGCAGGCACTCACTCTCCGAGCACAAAGACATGGTTTGATCCCCAGAACCCACATAAAAATTCAGGGTGTGATAGCACACGCTATAATCCCACTGCTGGGGAGATAGAGACAGATAGATTCCCTAGAGCTCACTGGCCAGCCAGCCTAACTTAATTAGCAAGCTCCAGGCCAGTGAGAGACCATGTCTCAAAAGGGAAAAATATGAATGATGCCCAAGGCTCAGCGCCCAAGGTGAGCACACCCAACCAGCACACATGAACATGCAAACAGCCACACGGATTAAAGATACAAATCACTTGACCTGGGCACTGGAAATATCCTATCATTAACGTTTTGATCTTATTTCTTGGCCTTTTAAAAAAAACATGCTTATTTGTTTATGTTTGGTGATTACGAGGTACAGCCTTGACTCTCTGGAATGTAGGCTGATGGCCAACCCCCGAGTGCTCCCAGAAACAGGCAGTGCAGCCAGCATCACTGCAGAAAGGCAGCAGAACTCCATGTAGGTCCTCTGAGCGGACACTGTGGGGCCTCCTCGTGCCAGGGGAGGTGGGATACAGAGAGACCGAAAATCCTCCGCAAAACGAGAGACAAGAGGCGATAATAATAACCGCCGCCTGCTGCTGTCTCCAGGATCTATGTGCCTGCCACGTGCCGGGCAGACTTCCTTCTGCATATCCTGCATCCAGCAGCACCCGGCTCAGATCTGTCTAGTGACTGCATGTATGTACCAGTCAGTCGTCTCCTTCAGACACATAGCAGCAAGCTGGACAGAAAGGACAAGTGCCTCACAGAACTGGAAGAGACATACTGTGCAAACCAGCACCCCGTGTTCCCATCAGCATTCCTGAGCCTTGAGCTCTCGCACAGCTTTGTCTTCTCACATGGACTGATGCCGTGCATGTGTGTGTACACGTGTGTGTACACGTGTGTGTGTGTGTGTGTGTGTGTGTGTGTGTGTGTGTGTACTAAAGCACTGTAAGGAGTCAGTGAGTGGCTGGGGAGAAAGACAGGGAGCTGCTGTGGGCAGGTAAGAAGCCATTGCTGTGGAAGGAAGTCTGAGGTCTGATCTATGGGAATATTTACTAGACAGCTCAGGCTTAGCTTGTTTGACAGAGGCAAGGAAGCCAGTGTATCTGTACCAGGAACATGACTTTGGCGGAGCAAACCAAACAAGATCACGTAAGATCTCGTAAGCCCGGGAAGGACTGGGGAGGGTTAAGAGCAGAGAAAAGATGCACGTCTTCACTTCTGGTTGTGTAAGTGAGCAGTTACCACTCTGATAAATTCTCAGAGGGATTAGCTGCCTCGGGCAGATGAAGGATGGAGCTGGGGCCTGAATTTAGATCTGCCTTGTCCCTCAGGTCTCTCATCCACAATGCTAACTGCCAATCCCTGTCCCAGGCACTGGGAGCCTCGTGACAGGAAAACCTTGCAGTGATGGCCCAGACTCTGGTGACTCTCCACAGGACAAGGCCCACTAGTGCCTCATTATCAGCATCCCAGCAGCAAAACAGTGTTGCCTTTTATTCCACTGTCCCTGGGGTGTTAGTGACGTGGGACCTCCACAGTCCCTCCCTCCTTGGTTTGAGAAGGTGGCAGGCAAAAGTTGGGCTGTGTTGAGTACACAGAGTTGCGCAGCAGACGGCCTGAGTTCTGGGCCCGGCCAGCGCATTCCGGGAGAAACTCCACCACCTGTTCACCAAGTGATACGACCTCAGGAAAGTTGCTTCTCTGAGCCGTGCCCCACCAGCCTGCAAGGGGAGATGACAGAGCTGGCTGGATAGGAATGGGGTGGCGAATACGTGTAAGTCACTCAGAGCTCCTTGAACAGCAAGCCGTGTGTGGTGGCTACAGGATAGGGCAACCGTCACATTGAGCATCATCTCAGGCGACCCCGTAGCAACCCGTGCATCCTAGTGCTATATCCACCAGTGCAGAGAAAGAGTGATGGAAAGAAGGGAAGATTTTACCCAGGGTCACACATCAGGAAGCCTTTGCATTGGAATACTATGTGCTAAGGCTGGGTAAGAGGCAGAAGGCTTCCTTGGCAGGACTATAGCCCAGAGCTGGCTTGCTGCCCTCTCTCCTCCCTCTGGTCTGTCTTACCGTGAGACAGCAGCAACCCTGAACTAGCTGGAAGTGGGATTCAGGGCACTCGAGAGTGAATGGCATCACCTAGCAGGTATGCTGAGACCCAGACGGCTACATTCGGGGCACAGTCAGCAGAATGCATAAGCATCGCCCTGCCCTCATGGACAAAGACCCTGCCCCGTGTCTTCAGGGAACTGTCTTCCTTGCTAAGCAGTTACCACCCTGTTCCCACACAAGCCGAGGGATGGTGAGACTCCAACCAGGTCCTCATCCACAGGGACGTAAGAGAAATCCAGATTTGTTGGCCCTATCTCAGTGCACCAACTGAGTCCCTGTGGCTCTGCTGGACCTGGGCAGGGTACGACTCTCCAGACCGTTCTCCTTCTTTAGAAGACAGCGGCCACAGGTGCTCAGTGCTCTCGTATCTTCAGAGAAGTCACGTGGGTGCTTCCAGATGTTGCTTTAGCAGATGTGGAAGGAGTCAAAGAGAGAACGTAGGGCTTTAGATCCAGATAAACAAATTCAAACCCTTGCTTTGAACCTTGTTGCTGGTGACCTTGGCGAGTCCCACTACAGTTCCCTATCCTGTAGTATCCTCATCTGTAGTACTGGGATCACCCTGACTTCCTTGCATAGCATCTAGTTTGGAAATTTGAGAAAATGGATATAATGTGCCTAGCCCACTGCTTGGCACCCTGCAGTCCTCCCAGCTGAGAACTGGAGTTGGATACTCACAGCTTCCAGCCACGCGGGTTTGTATAGAGAGCGCTCCCTCTGGGTGCTGTGCGCCAGGTGGACCCTTTGCACACGTGGCTTTGCACACCGACCGATTGCCTGGACCCTTTGTCCCTGCTGGCCTCACGCACAGCCGCACCCGACAGCCGCTCTTCATTTGTTTCTATACTCTCCCCTTCATCGATGCATGCATGACTCATGGCTTCATTCATGTCTCCATGTGTGCGTAGAAACCTAGGCAAGCAGCCATTCCTAGGGACATTGCAGGACAACCTCATTGAGATGGACATTCTCAGCGCCTCCCGCCATGATGGGGCTTACAGTGACGGGTAGGTGGCACCCCTCCCCCCATGCTCCTCCTTTGTATGTGCTCTCCTTGTGGCCCCTGCACTTGCATGCAAACCCCTGAGACCTTTCCCTGGGAACTCCTGGGAGAAGTGATGCCGCGTTGCATGAACATCCCCAAGTCCGCGTTCCACTCGCGAAGTCTGTCCTTGGAACGCCCTGCCCCCGCCCCTGCCCCGGCATATTAACAGCGGTCTTGTTAATATGCAGCTCTCAGCATCTCATCGGCTGCCTTTGCCATTCTGGAAACCATCTCATGTCGCAGTTTTTATACAGCACAGGCCCTGTGTCTCACGTATTCCGGCCTCGAGTGTATATTCTGTGGTCTGAATGTCTTCTAGCCTAGGAGGAGTGGGTTGGTCCTAAGATTCCAAGGCCGTGCAGTAGAAATCACACAATCCACACAAGGTTTGCAGAAGTCCTCCCATGGCTATGGTTCGGGCCATGTTTGCAGGATTTCTCAGCATCTCCTTTGGCCGCAATTCATGGGCTCTGACATTCTCCACTGCTTTCAAGATCGCAGCTGGGCTACAGGATGGAGCTGCCCGTCTTTCCTCCACATAGCTTTCAAGTAGCGCTGCAGCTAGGGCTCCTGAGGCTGTGAGGGCATTGTTACCAGCCACGGGCAGAACTTAGTGGTGACTTCTGGACTTCTACCCCAGCAAAGCTCCATTTAAAAAGAAGGGCTTCTAATGCCTTACCAAGGTGCACTGAAATGCAGGTATTAGAACAACAGGAAAAAAAATTAAATAGCAGTTAGTTCTTTCCCAAGAGCCATCCCCTACCCCAGCTCCACGGTTCCCAGGAAAAGGACTTCAGGGCAGCCTCTGTTGAGTGAGTAGTGGCTTCTGCCTTGGGTGGGGTTCCAGTCCTATGAGTGCTCTGTGGAAACGTGTCTTCTTGTGCCCTGTTTGTGGTCCGGTGCGTGACTTTTCCTGGCCCTGTCATCTTCCCTGTGATGATTCTCTCTCTCTTTCTCTCTTTCTCCAGGCTTCTCTGCATGTCCCTTCTTCCGTGCGTCTATCCTGCAGGTTGGCCTGGGCGCCTGGTTGGCAGGCAGATGCTGACACCTTCCCGCCTCTCTCCATCCACAGGCACTTCCTCTTCAAGCCAGGAGGCACCTCCCCGCTCTTCTGCACCACATCCCCAGGGTACCCCCTCACGTCTAGCACCGTGTACTCGCCCCCACCCCGGCCCCTGCCCCGCAGCACCTTCTCCCGACCGGCCTTTAACCTCAAGAAGCCCTCCAAGTATTGCAACTGGAAGTGTGCCGCCCTGAGTGCCCTCGTCCTCTCGGCTACCCTGGTCATCCTGCTCGCATACTTTGTGGGTAAGCACATTCTCCCCACCCCCACCCCCAGCTCCCCGTGACACCACTTTGTCCCAGAGGGTGGCCACCAAAGCACCTGGGGTCACCAAAGGCACCACACCAGTAACACAGTCATAGGACGCAGGTTGTACCAAGAAATCTTGCCCTGGTGTGGTCCATGACCTACAACATAGGAGCGCTCTCGCCTCTGTGCCTGGGTCAGGAAGGCTAAGGTGAGGAGCAGTTCGGGAGAGGAGCCTACTAGTGAAAGAAAACCTCCAGGACTGCTCCGGGTGGGTTTCAGGCTGGGTGGCATGGTAGTGTATTGTGGAAGTGTCGTGGTTATTAAAATACAGTCAGAACCCAAGGAAATCCTGCATGAGAAGCACCTGTGAGTGGAGAGCCGGCTGAAGGAGGAGCAGAGGTCCAGAGCCATGCTGGCTGCCAGTTTTCTACCCAACCCCAGATCTGCTCCGGGTTATGTAAGAAAGTCCCCAGTTCTGTGACTTGTGGCCCTGCTCCAGCAGAATGGCTTCTCCTTGGCATTCTTTGGACACACTTGTAGCAAAATCTGGTTTCCTACTTCTGAGTTCCCCCTTTTTTATTTTCTCCTGGGAAAGCAATTAATTGAAAGAGAAGTGGGCTCGGTGAGGAGTCTGCGACCTCTGTGGTAATAAACCTATGACGAAAAGCATCCAAAGTGGGTTTGGCTTAGCTCTGGATGTCTTTTCCAAGGATGAAGGCAGGTGATCCTAGCCTGGGAAGGCCTTGAACCCAAGTTAAGGAGTTCAGAGAGAGTTCTGGAAGCAAATGGGATTGTCAGTATAAGCCAGTAGGCAGAATTATAACTGACCAGCTGAGATCAACAAAAGACAGAGGACTTTCCTCTCTAGCAGGCTGTCATCACGGATGCAAAGTGAGCCTGTCTTGAGAGGCAGTACCATGCCATCGCAGACAAAGATCAATAGAACACAAACCACCACTTGTTTCAGAAATTAAAAAAATGTTTTAAACATAGATGGGTTTCAAATGATGATGTAAACTGTAAGTTCACTTCCTCTACAGGGTCCTCGGTTTCCTAAAAATAGTCAGGAAGGTGACATTCCTGAGAATATTCTAGTATCTCCCCTATGCCAGGTCTTGTTTCCCCTTATGAATATAGGCTTAGAGAATGCATAGCTCCAAAACAAGCTGGTGTACAATTCATATGTCTTTTACCAGTTAACTTATGGTTGTCATCTGGAAAGCTACATTGTATGAATCCTAAGGCTGTATTCCAATGAAATGAAAAGAAACTTCTGTGATTGATTAGTGATGCCTGTCATGGTCACCTTGGAGCAAACAGGGTGGGAACATTATTGAATGGACAATCAGAAGAGCTGTCAGCAGTGGTAGGCCACAGTTAGGTTTTCATTACACGAAGAAGGAACCAATGTCAGAGCTATTGGAAAGTGGTTACGACGAACTAGTCTAGAAAAGTTGATGGCTCCAACTGAGATAATGACGATGTGGGCGTGGAGAGACAGGACGTAGACGTTAAGATAACTTTAGCAGAATCTGCAATGCCAATCAGAGGTTCATTCCATTAATAGCATGAGCTCAATTAAGAGTAAATACAGGTTTGTGATAAGGGATGTAAGGCTGGACTGTAGCAGTCACACCTGGGGAAGACACCAAGAGGGTCTGGGCATTCCCTCTGTCATTTGCATAGACTCAGCAAGGGCTTGGGGAGAGCATGACCTCTGTACCAGACCAGTGCTCCCACATGGCAACCGTTCACCCTCAGACAGCTCAATAATTCCCCAGAATAATGCCTGTGAGGCTGGAGTTAAGCACTGCCTGTGTGGGGAACTGGTCACCCCACTTCTCAAGGGCTCGCCATGACAACCTTGGGATCTGGTCTCTTTCCCCTGTGGGATTTGGTCTCTTTCCCCTGATGAAGGCTAGAATGGGCATGCAGGCATCTTACTCAGCCCTAATTGCAGGCTGTGATGACTAACTTGTAAGGAACTATCAATTATTAAAGATCAAATTAATTGTTTCAGCCAAGCACAAATATCCTTAACAAAGACTCTTTTCCAGCAGACCAACTGATCTAATCAACAGGCAAAAAAAGCGCAGATATTTAATTAGATTTTTGATGAAAAATTGTGTTTAATTTCAAGTATAATCAATTATTAATTACTGCAATGAGCAAGTCTGACTGGGTTTACTAATTAACTCATTTAAAAATTATGAATAACCTTTTCATTTGTAATCATTTTCTACAGCCTATCAAATTCCAGATAAAAATTGCATCACCTAGTAGCCAGCAGAGGGGGAGACAGAGCAAAGGGCAGGAAAGAATGTGGCTTCTGCTGGTATCTGCCCAGGGCAGCCGTACCAGGGTGGTGATCCTGACAGAGCTACTTGACCTTCAGCCTCTTAGTTGGGAACTGTGCTGAAAAAAATGAGCAGCCAGTGACCTTTCAGTTTCAGACATATTTACTGGCATTTCCATGGGAAAATAGAGAAAGCAAAGTTAACACGCCATGGAACCTTGCCTTTGGGGTCTCTCAGCCCGCTTCCCCCAGCAAGCTTGGTGGGGCTGGGGAGGACCTGTCACATTCTTGTGATGTTTTCATAGGGGTCCGCACAGGTCTCCTTTACTCCAAAGGACTGGCATCCAGACAGGCAGCCTACGAGTGCTTACCCCACCTGACTCTTCCCGTAAGCTCTCAGATCCTCGCTGGTCTCCACTGACGACCTTACCTTTCATTTTCCGAAGCAATCTGCTTCAGAACCACACGGAGGAAGGGACTGGAGGGTGGTGGTGTACCATCGTGTAGACGATGCTTTACTGCGTCTTGATCCCGCTTAGAGCATTTCCTGTAACACAGTAATGTATGTAGACTAGGAAGAGTGACGGTGGCCACTGCCATCCACAAGAACAGTATCTCTTAGCTCTGACTCTTCCACGGGCCCCTTTCTAGCCCACACATCTCACTTGTACTTCACCATTGAAATCTCCTGACCCCAGCGGGTTAGGACCCCATTTGAGGATGAGGACCCTGGGACCCACAGAGCTAAAGTGACTCACTTTCTGTCACGTGGTTAGATTAGGGATGTGACTGCCCATCCAGAGGCATTCCAACACTTTTGAAATCTTTTACTCTTTGAAGCTCACTCTTTACCCTTATACGCTAGCTTTCTGATCTTGGTATTTTGGGGGTTTTGCGGGGGAATTTATCTTAACTGTGACCTTAGCATTGGACCAAATCCAGGACTTTCTTCTTCTTTCTGGACCCTCCCAATGGGTCTGTGGATTCAATATGACTTTCTCATGGGGGATCTAAGGCTCAGAGAATGTGTCAGCTTTCCAGGATCCTATAGGCAGTAAATGGCATAGCTGCTGCTCCACCAAGACTTGGGATCTCCAAAACCATGCCTTTAAGCACAATCCCGAGCTCGAACGGGTGATGTTGGAAGACTCCACTGCCGACCCTACATCTGATCCTTATCCACTGAGCAAGCGTGGGTCCCTTTCTAAACCCCTCAGAACCTCAGCCTCACATTTCCATACTGTTCCCATAACGGGAATGGCGCGCCTGAGTGACAGATCCCCCTGGAGAGCCTGTCTTTGGAAATCAGGTTGCCGACTTCAAGACCTCAGCCCCACTGCTTACAAGTTTTGCAACTTGAATTTCCATATCTGTGCAGTGGGAACACAAGTGGTTACACATCACAGGGTGGCCATGCAATCTGGGGAAGAAAGTTTATACAGAGTAGCTACCCTGCCCTACACACACACACACACACACACACACACACACCCTTGGTACAGAGTCTATCATCAGTAGAAGTAGGATACTGGTGTGACGTGTGTTATCATCACAATGCAGAGTATCTACCTCCTTATCTTCTGAGGGAAGACCTGGGCCTAGCCAGCCTGCCTCGCTGTGGCCTGCTGGCTTTCTGGCCTGCCTGGGTCACCAAGGCAGCAAGAAAGCAAACAGGGAGTTTGTCGGAACACATTTGGAGGGAGGTCTGGCTGTTCCAGGACAGCAGTCACAAAAGGAACTGTCATCTACAATGCCGCAGCCCCCCCACCCTCCACCCCCGCCGCCGTGTCTTTTCTGTAACTAGGACAAAAGCTGACTTCGCTTCGCTGACAGCTGTAGCCCCGTGAAGCTGACAGCTTCCCTTGCTTCCCAACAGCTGCGTAAAAGGCAGTAGATGAGCTACAGATTACGATCTTGAGGAGGCTTCAAGCACCTGTCTGGCAGGAGAGCCCATGGAATAGAGTGGAGAAAGGCTCTTCATGTACACGAAGGCCCCAGAGCACCCTGGGGTGCTGGCTCTTCCACGCCAGCTCCAGGCCCACCCTGAAGGGTGGAGGTGCTTTGACTGTAATATCTCTAAGGAAGCGTGGCGCCCTCCAGTAGAGTAACTCAGGGAGTCTTCTTCCTACTTCTGCGCACTAGGAGGATAACAGAGCTGCGGTAGTCAGGCTAAGCACAGGGCCTGTGGTGGAGGAGGCAGCCCTTGCCGGTGGCTCCGGAAGATTGTCACTCCTGCTCCTGGACCTATCCTAGCCTGGGATGTGATGGGTGTAGCCGACCCCATAGTTCCCTGCCTACAGGCGTCGTCCCAGAACATACAGAACATGGGGTCACAAGCAGGAGCCGGAGCCACCTCTGGGTGGGACATTCCTGTAGCAACAGATCTTTTTATTAACCAGGTCATATTTTCACCTCTACCAGAGACTGAGCGTGTGCTCAGACACTAGGCAAACCCTGGCATAAAGCGGTGAGAATTTAACTGGTGAGAGTGTTGCCAAGCTTAATTGCCGCTCTCTAGGAGGCAGTGCGGAGAGAGCTTTCCTCGGTTGGACATTCCTGTTGCACCGGGCCTGGTGGAGCCCAAGTCATCGGTTCTTGAGGCCGTCTGGAAAGGGTTGGTAGAGGTGCGCTTGGGAAATTAATGAGGTTTGCAGAGAAGGTGGGCTCCCTGGAGATCTCCGACGCTCTATGGCAGAACAC